TCTAATCCTTGGCACTGGGACATGCCAGGACTAGAACTGCTGGTACAAACTCGTCTCATGCCTACTCTAAATGAGTTACAGAACTGGTGCTGTAACATGGCCCCCAGTTATTTTGCCTGGGGCTCCATATATTCAGTGCACTGGAGACAGTGACTGCTGAACGAGCAGCTAGTCACTCTTCTTTCTGTTTTCTCTTCATTGGCACAGTGTCTGGGCCACACATGGAATGTATTTACTGCACATCAGCCAAGCCCTGCGCAGAATACAGTTCATTTACTCCAGGGCATTTCTTTGGTGTCCATCACTGCAGCAGCCTACTGATTTGGACACAAATGTTTTGTTATCATCACCGGAGGTGAGAGACGGTGGAGTTAGACTAAGCCTAATTTTACAACAGAGGCCCAGAAGCCAAAATCTTCAGTTTGAGTGCTAAACTTGTGACAAAGACTAAATGCTTCCCTTACCCCTCACTCCATTTAGCATTTCCCATCCTTGTCTGTGGTAAAACACATTTCCAGTTCCATCAAACTCAAGCCTTGGTGTTCCAAACAGAGCATGTGGAATCTGGGAGACTTGCAAAGTAGCGCTTGTGAAGAGCTGAAGTGCTGTACAGGATCTCTGTGCAGGACACAGAAAGGACAAACCAATTTACCTGGCAGTGTTCAGCTTGCACTAACCACAAGAGTAGACCTTCTTTTCCTTCAACACTGTGGTTGCTAGTAAAGCCATCTCAGAACTGACTGCCAACATCTGCAAAGACAACAGCGCCTCAGTACCCAGCTTTGAGCTGCAGCCCTGTGCTCAACCCAAAACTTTGTACCACCACTGACAAGGTCCACAGCCCAGTGCTTCCCCAAACCTGCCCTCAGCGGTGCCCTCTGCCCATGAATAGACAGGGAACCCAAGGGTTTACAAAGCTGCTGCCCCATCTCCCTGGTCCTCAAAGCCTGCCCTAGAGACTGGCACCCAGCCTGTCTCTTGAGCTGAACCTTCTAACATTAGTAAGCCTACAACAGGAACTTGCTGAGCTGAGAGGAGAATGATGCCTACACATAACTCTCAACAATCTTTGATTCACAGAAAGCTATACAATCCCACTCCCAGTTCCTTCAAAATTCCCTCCAGGCCTCCTGTCATAACTTTTCAGACAAGATGCATTTAAATACAACAGCCCACCCTAGCCCTGTGTTTTAGTAGTCATATTTAAAAGTTGAGTTATTCGAGAAGTGAAAGGCAAAGCCTGGAATTTTTTGTGCATTTTGGGCAGGGGCAGGAGAGGAACCTACAGTACAGTCAGCACTGGTTATTTGCTGATTGCATGAGTACACACATGTGCTTAGGCCATAGTTTCCTCTGAAATTCTGACTGTAGGAACTGACTCTTTAGGGGGATAAAAAATAGAAAAAAAGAGGGAACTCCTGTACCATTGCCACCTATTCAAAGAATCAGCCAGTGGATCCATCAGGCCACCCAGGGAACTATTCCCACTGGAATTTGTGTTTTGTTCTCACGGCAGGCTCCAGAAATACCATGTTCATCTGTCTCCTGCATGATTAGCTCTATTGTAGCCCTGAGATTTTTGCAAGGACAGGAAGGTGAGGTCTTCTCTAGATTATTTTTTGTTTTCTGAAGTCAGCATGGTGCAGGTTTTGTTCTTTTTCGGGTTGTTTCTCAGACACAAGGGAGCTGCACCATTTGTTTCTACAACAGGTTTGTCCAAAGCCAGTCTGCCCAATGCAAATCTCCACCAGGAGTCTGGAGTCTGCAACAAGGGAAGGCAACGTTCTAATGCGAGAACATCCCCTTACAACACAAGAGCCTGGCAAAGCCACATTCCAGCTCTGTCTACAGCACCCAAAGGCATTTGATGCACACAGCAAATACACGAACACTGTAGTGGTGATGAAAAATACCAAAGACCACAGCAGGAGAAAGGTACCTGGGGAGTGAGGAGGGTCCTCTGTTTGCAGTGTCTGTGATAATTCCACACAGACCTTTATGTTTTTTATTGCATCTTTGTAGGTGGTGATGGGAGAAGTGGGAGCCTGGCTGCCATGGGCAGGTGAAGCCCTGCAGCTGCAATACACCTGCTTGAATGGGGAAAGCACTGCAAGCTGCCACCATTCATCCCCTGGGGAAAGGGGACAGCACTGCACATGGCTGTGCTCCTCCACAGCCAAGGGTGCTCCTGGGGCCACCTCATCTGCAGTCACATACACCCAACCCCTCAGAGCATCAGGCACTCACCCTACACGGAGCTCCCATGCCAGAGGTGGCCACTGGCAGGAGTGGGGAGAGGTCTGGCATGCACACAGCCCACAGGCTGCACCACTTGCCTGTGACCAAACAGGTACCAGAAAATTCATCAGCAAGAGTCTGGCACTCGCACGGCCGCAGCTGGACGCCCTCAGAGCCGTAGGCGTTGGCAGGTGGGCAGATGGCTGCTCCAGGCCCGGGGACACCGAGCACAGCACACACAATGCAGCCTCTGTTCACAGCACAAGCAACAGAATCGAAACCACTTCATTTCAAGGGGGCATTCAGGCCCAGAGCCACCACTGGCACAGGGACAGCTCTCCAAAGTGGCAGAGTGCTCCTGTGGATACAGCAGCATGCAACAGCTCCAAGGATCAGGGCCACTGCATTTGTCCACCCACAGGCTGAATTCCAAAGCTCTAGCTCAGAAAACTAAGCAGGATATAGTTGGGTTTTTTTTCAGACTTATAATAGATTGCTTAAGAGCTAAAGCCTGTATTTCATTACTCTGTTGTAGCAGGAACACAGGTCTGAACCATCAACCTTGTACCTCTCCACAGCTGCAGTGGAAATAATTTCAGGTACTCTTGAATGCAGCAGGTTGTTCACAAGGTTGCCAGAATGCTGTTTCACTTGTGCATGCAGCAGGCAATCCAGCAACAAGGTGCAGTTCAGCTTTGAGATGATTAAACAGATGAGAAATAATATCAGGCTTGAGGGATCCAGTTTAACTGCAGTTCCATAGAAACCAGCAGTAAAAAGGCTGTATTTTTTCCCTCATTACCCAGAATGCAGAACTGAACTCAAGAGACTCTTCCCCTACCTCACCGAGGCTTCACAGACTGATTCTTTTCATGTTAAGACAGAACTAGACAAAAGGACTTGAAACACCAGCACAGTTTGCCAGGGGATTATAATTATTCCCAAAGCCAAAACTAGAATAAGATGTTATCCCTGTTTGTGTTGCGTGAGCCAGTTACTGCCTCTTCAGAGGGCACCACCTAACACACACTTTGTATTCCTGTACACTTAACAGTAGCTCATGCTGATGAATTGAAAGATGCACTTTTAAGTAAAGGCTTAAAAAAAAAAAAAAAAAAGTCTTCAGCTCTTTAAGAATTGGAGCTTTTAAAGAAACCACAAAGCAATCAGCTTTTGAAAGCTCTTCTGCCATACACAGAATGCCATGAATCACACACACATTAGCAGATGTCATGTGCAAATCTCTGCTGCAACACAAGGAGGAGAGACCTCAACCGCTTTGGCATCAAAAATGTCATCTCCATTTTAAGCCTGCTGCTGACAGCTCTTAACACTGTAATTACAATTTGCAGCTTATAGTTGTGGGAATGTTGCAGAAGATACCACAGCAATAATACTGAACCTGTTTAGAAGTGTGATAAAATTACATGGAAACTTTCAGCTGCAGTATTTGAGTCAAGTTATACCTGAGGTTATCAGCTAAAGCAACATTTAACTCCACGTTGCAATGCCAGAAAATAAGCAAATTAAATTATTAAAGAAGGCAGGCAGGCAGGCAAAAGGCTTTGAAATAATAATCAGACCTGTGACAGAAGTTGAGCTTGGCAAAGCTTTAAGAGACTTTGTGCTTAACCTTTGAACACAGTGGAAGGCTGTCCATCACCTTGTGTGTTTGCTGTGAGCCATCTCAATGCAAAGAGAACAATACAGTTCTCATTTCCACTATCAAACTTAACACCTGCAGTGTCTGCACTACAAGAAAATTACCTGTCTCTGTACTGAAGAAAGCAATATGCAGGTCTCATTGGAGATTGGGGGTTTTCTCTTTTACCCTAAAGGGTTATTACTACACAGCCACTCATTGAGAGCTGATCGTTTTATCACATCATCATAAATGACACCAGGGCCATCTTCAGGTCTTGGCTCCTCTATAAACAAAACACCACCACAACAAAAAACATATGACTAACAGCACTGAAGAGAATGGAAAGAAAATTATAATATTGTTTCCCTTTATCACACTAAATTCATTTGCAAGACCATTTAGCTTACTGTTCTCACCTTCATACTCCACACACACATTTTCTAGTGTAGATATCACAGGAACTCAAGACTTTAAAAACTGAGTAGTTAATTTTCAAATCATTTGGGACAGGTTTTCAGATAGAAAGCTTTTAAAAATCCTTTTAAAAAGTAATATTTTTCACCAGTAATATATACTATTTTAAAAATTTGGCTATGATGCAGACATCCTTCCTACCCCCCTGAACAGAAAGCTGTTGATCTAAACTTTAATTCCCAGTATCGTTGCTTGGGAGTTTTACTAAATGTTTCCTCTGTGTTTCAGCACAGATCAGAACTTAGTTTCCTAGGTCACCTTAAAGATAAAATCTTTAAGTTTTCAAGCAGTATTTGTGTGTTAATAATGCCTTTCTGCACACTGTTCTACTCTAGAGGAGTATTTCCAGCTTACAGAAGAGCAGCATGTTTTATTCCCGGGCACATCTGTTTCCTACTCCTAAACTACACACTTGATCTGCACTAAAAGTGTTATCAACTAAATTTATGAAGCACTTAAGCACACTAAGTATCTATGTAAATCTCTGCTCAGCCCTTTAACAGAAAAGGATAGGGAAAGAACACAGTGTGAAAAATAATGAAAGATCTGAGTGTCAAAGTAACTCTGGTAATCTCAAATGTCATTGCCTTACCCAAAAGAAGAACTGGCACTTTCTCGTTTGTGACATTAAAAGAAGGCAAGATGAATTTTACGAGTTTTATTATACAAAAGAAGATCCAACCCCCCCCAAGAACTCTTCTACAGTTCTAAAAGTTTTGTTCTGCAACTTGTACTTCCATGTGCTTTTCCAAAAAGCCAAAATAAAAAGACTCATTAGTCTCACTTTCTTCTTAGCAAGAGTCTTGGAAAAACCCAACCGTAGCTGCATCAAAATCTGTTATTTATTCTTTGTATTCCAAGAATTGCTGAAGTCTTTTCTTATGTTCTGTAGACACTTGCACTGCACTAAAAACAAAAGCAGAACATTTTACATTAAGTGTAATACACCACAAAAATAAAGTCTCATGCCAAAATTGAGTACATTAAAATCAATTACACTGAAGCTAAATTTTAGAAAACCCAGCTATAAGAAAAACCTATGTTCCAAGACAAAGAAGTGTATTAACCCTTAAAACTGTCAATTTTCAGCCTACTACTAAAAGACACCTGTCCCAGGACACCTTGTCCATTTACTTACCTTTAAATACACACAGCAACTGATTAACTTGCAAGGATGACTTAAGTGAGAAAGAATCTCTTAAAATGATCTCTCCTGTATATCAAGCACTTCCAAACTGAGGGACATTTCATGCCCACAAGGAGAGATGGGCAGATGCTGCAGGAAGTTTCAGTCCCACATATTCAGAGGCCAAGTATCAAAGTCTGCCTGCTGTGACAGTAGCTGAGAAAGAGCCTTTGGGTGACCAGGCTGCACGGGAATTCCATTATTTGGACCCTTCATAGGATTCTCACCCTACAGAAGAATTGTCTCTACTTGATTTATTTTCTTTTCAGCAGCTCAGATTTATTAAATGAATGCTATTCATGAACTGCTTCTAAAGAGTTCGTGAAAAGTCACTAAGAAAAATTACCCAGAAATCTATGAATAATAAATTTCTAAGTGGGACCATATATCTATACAAGAACTTTTTAAGGTTCCACAAATCAAAAAAATACTAAAATACTGTGTTAGAATAATGACCTGAAGGGATTTTTTTTCCCCCCAAACTTCCCTTTTCACAGGTTCTACAATAACATTAATTAAACTAAATTCAACAAGGAAGCAATCGTGAGGAATTTCTTACTTTAAGTGCTCTCCAAAGACAGTAGTTATCCGGTACAGTGCTGTCTTCAGGGACGCTCTAAGTGCAAACCGTAGTGTTTTGTAGGATGTGTCCACCAGGCTCCCTGAGACCCGGGGGGGCTTGCTAGAAACATGTGGCAGTTTGAAATGTCTGTCTACAACCTGATTGAGAAAAACATAAATGAAATCAGGTCACCTGTTCAGTTATTTCATAATGTAACCATTTGACATGTTTGGGTCAAATAAAACAAAAGAAAATGCACATTCAGAAATTCCACCAAGACACACAAGAATGTATTGGAGACTGATCATTTCCCAGCCATCAACAGGAACACAGAACCAAGATTCTCTGTTACTAGTCTTAACTGCCAAGCACAGCACATGCTGCAGTAGAAATACAATTCTGTCCTGTATTATGACTTGTTTCTTTCAGAAACGAGGGTGTTGGGGTTTATTTTCCCCCCCTTGTGCCTGTTCTTGGAATGGATGACTTACACTGAAAAACTTTAATAACCTCTAAATTCTTTCCAAGAATGTCCATTAGGACAGCATAAAATGATTATGTCAATAGGACACGCACAGCCTTGGAAATAAATCTGGATTTTTTTAAAATACACATTGAACAAATATCAGTGACTTGAGAGTAATGTCTTAGCATTATGAGAGGGAACATCGTACAGATCTTATCTCCTGAGTTTGCAATGTCTCCAAGTGTTCCAAGTTGCACGAGGAATTGTGTACAGCCAAATACAGTCCTAACTCTGCATAAAGTATAGTAGTGTAATTGCTGCATCCCTGAAATAAGCACACAGTACCATTTTTTAATTTGAAACATCCCATGCTCTCTCCTACATTTTAAAAAACAGGGTTTTTATTCAGCTGTTTCATAGTGCACACAGTGACAACCAGCTGTTTTGTTTAGATGAACTGCAAAAGAGCTGTTTCGGTGGCAACAACTTGAATGTTATGGTTAGTCAGCAAGGTCGTAATGTGAAATTAACAGGACTCTCCCTAAACTTGTCCTGCAGTAAGGAACAGTTAACAGTTTTACCTCCTGAAGAGTCAGTAAAGTATTCAGGATAGCTGGCAGTGTAGTTTGGACAACTCCAAACTGGTCTTCAGTAAAGGAGGCTGCTACCAAGTGAGACAGACCTTTAAAATAAAAAAAAAAACAACAAAGAATTTTGCTCTAATTAATGCTTCACAAGTTGAGATTTCAGTAACAAAGATCCTGGCATTGCCTGAAGAATCTACTAGTGTGGTAGAGCTCTTCAGGACTTACTGCAGCCAGCTGACAGTTACCTCAGCTTTGGCTCAAGGTCTAAATCAGTCACTAGTTTTACAAGTGTATTATAGCTTGAGGTTGATAAACCAAGAAAGATTATATATTAAATAAATTTTTAAAAACACACTGGCTCCCTTTTTCCACAAGAAACAAGAAAATCCCAAAGTGCAACCACCTACTGTCGTTGTTCTGATTCTCTGCAGATCATCTTTTTCAGTTTATTTGCTAAGTTACTACCTGAGTGCCTCCCTCAATTCCCTGATTAACAGAGGAGCACTCAGAGCCTTTAGTCAGAAAAGCTGCTGTAAAAAGAAGTCATAAATGTGCTGGTGGAAAAATGTAAAAATGATACATGGCTTCACATGAGGGAGAAGCAAAAGAAATAAGTTTAGGAATCTCCACAGAACATAAAGTAAGAGATCTCGCATGGGATCTCAAAACTAACAAGTGAATTAGACTTTAGTCATGTTGGTGTCTGAAATGCAGTTGGGATTTTGTCAAAAGTGTTTCAAAGACTTTTTTTCTGTTATATTTATAAAGCACAGAGGCCCATAAAGTTTTCCATGAACCAACAGAGTGGATCACCTGGAAACTCCTTACCTTCCAAAGCCCAGATATGCATTTGGGCATCAGAGAAGACAGCCTGGATGGAGGCTTCTGGGTGCTGAGAAGAAATCAAGATGCTGTGAGTGCACTTTATAAATAATAATACCAAACCTGCAGGTTTCATTAAGGTATTACACATTCCATAGGGTCCTGTCCCTCCCCTCAGAACAGACAGGTATGGGATAATCCTGCTGTGAAACTCACAGTAAGTACAAAGTTGTACTTATGAAAAACCTTAGATGAAAATACAGGATTTAGAACCCTTACTCTATGACAAGGTACAAAAGGCCACAGCAGAGCCCCATGTGCTCCTGCATTTCTAGTCCCTGCTGCTCAGTCCCAAACACAGGATCACCCTTACCTTGCTGAAGAAATACATTATCAGTGCCCGTCTAGACAAGAAGTTTTTTATCTGAAAAGGAACAAAAGATTAAACTTATCATCTATATTTATCTAAGGTCTGCACAGTTGGCCCTCCTCAACCCTACCATCTTCACACAGTATAGAGGCACTGGGGGGTAAGGGGAGGGAAGGATCTGTGTTACGTAAACTGGTGGAGAAGGAAGTATCTATACTTCTATAAAATGGGAAGTTCTTCCGAAGATAATACCCAAGGTGCACCCCATATATACACTGCAGTTTTACTCTACCTGTTCTTGCTTGTTCTGAAGCCATGTGTAAATAAATTTGGGCTGTACTGCTTCGCTGCCAGCTTTTGCAGCAGAGAGCACTGGGAAAGGTGAATGCTGGGAACCATTCATTTGATGATCTACAAGAAAAAAAACACAGTATCTTCAGAAAAACTTTATCCTCACAATACAGCTCTCCATTGGCTACCACACTTATGGTACAAGACAGTTCTGTGGAAAAATCTCTACCTGAAACCGACGTCCACAGCTTTGGTCCCCTTCTCATAACAAGGGGACTTTGGAGCGGTCCATGCCAAGGGGAGTTTACATCCACAACTCCCTTCTTGCAATTTAAAGCAGGTGAGCTGAAGGGTGAACCAATGTCAGACCCAGGAGATGTCTTCAGAGGCATTAGGGAGGGTTTAACCAGTGGAGACATGGTGGATCTGAGAACAATGTTAGACCTCTGTGACTGGAAAGACACATCTTCTGTCCCAACAGCTCCTAATGACAAAGAACACACTGCATGGAGACAACAGGCTGGCACAGATGACATAAGAGACAGGTTTGTTATTTCATTGCTATTTTAACAACTTCGGTATCATCAGAGCTTTTATTATAGGACGTTGTTACCGCTGTGGTCTTGCAAAGAAGTACATCAGCATAAGCATGGAGTGTTTTCCAAGTTCAACAGTTTAAGAACAGCAAGTGATGAGAAGGATCCTTGTGAATTTTTCTCCTTTTGCTAGCCATCATTGCTACACCTGGTATAGATCCACATAAAGTGGGCTATTAGGATTAAGTACTAGAGAAGAGGCTACATATAGAAGAATGACAAGTCTTTGGCAAGTTTGGTATGTAAGAAAAGGCATGTCCATCTCAAAATTCGAGGAACAGCAGCATCAGAAGAAATTCACCTGACATACCAAGAGTCCCTGCTGTTCCCAGAGCACTGTCTGCTAAGGCTTGTGCTAACATAGCTCTGCTGCCAGGAGTGATGCCCAAGCCTGGCAGGTAAAACATCCAAAATGCTTGGAGACTGCACACAGCTCAGGAGTCAGACTGGGCTTTTCTTATTCTACAGTGATATTAGTGAATCACACAAACATAAACAAAACCTAATTTTACCATCTTAAATTAATCATAAGAGCAGTTATGCAAATTGCAAAGCATCTCTTAGCAAGTTTGTAAACAAACTGGAAACATATTCTTTCAAGCTTTCTAGTTATTTTGAGATTATCTCAACAAGAACACCTAAAATGAAATTTGGAGAGAATCTTTCTTGTTTGCATTTATTTCCAGAAATTCCTGTGACTCATTTTCCTCATAGAGCTTAACTAAGACTAATGTACCCACGTATCTATCTGTACTTTCATGCTTTACAAAGCTTTATGAGCATTTCCTCACATACCTGGGGTCTGTGGAGGTACTTTCAGCTCCCCCACTGGCTGCTTTGCTCTCCCGTTTGCTGCTGCAGCTTCCTGCTGTGCGATCAGCCTCTGGGTCAGATCACTCAGAAGACTCAAACACTCCCTTGATATTGCAGTCCAGTTGTGTGGGTGCCCACCTGACATACACACACAAAAAGGAAGGTTTAGCCCAGCTGCTCCTCTTGTATCTGTTCTGACAGTGCCCATGTGCTCTCAGCAGGAGCTTCACAGTGACAGGACTACTCCGTTTGTAGAACGCCACAGGGCATTTCCACTGTGACAGCTTGTTTGTTCTGAGAGGAAGATGAAAACATGGACAGATTCCATCCTCCTGTCAATGGATAACTCTAAAAAGATTTCAGTGAAACCTGCTAAGCAAGCAGGAAACACAGGCAGTTCAGCCCATCTGATCTGAAATCACTGAACAAAGTAATGAACAAAACAATATCAATGGGGACGGCAAACAGGTCTGAAGCAGTACAAACACTAGAATTCCTGATAAGGTGTTACAAAAAGTTCCTGAAGGCTTCTAAACAGTTTTAATTTACCTTCTCTGCCATATCTTTGAATATAGCAAAAGGCCTGTGTACTAACTGAAATTACAGCCAGTGTTTGCTCTCATGGCTCCAGTAGGGACTCACAATTTGTGCCTGATTTCCCCTCACTCACACCTCAACATTCAGCTTTCATACACATCTGATGGAATATCCAATCTGGACTATTTGACTGGGAGTGTAAAGAGATAACCTGTATGTCCTCACGGCTGTCATTTAAATCAGACACCAGAACAGTTTGAGTTTAGTAGATGAAACAATACGAATGTAGATAATTAAGCATCCTTTTGAAAAGGCACCACAAGCAATGAGGCCTCACAAAATTGCATAACTTATAAAAGCATCTGACTAACAATTTTTAAAAAAGGAAAAGAATCAACATGAAATAGGTTTTATAATTACCTGGCTGACTAAGGCTAAAGACTTCCTGTCGTCGAACGGGGGAGTACTGGGAAAGCAACATCAAGTCTTGTAAGGCTAAAAACTAACAAGAGAGGAAAATGTTTTAGTGCATGCAAAGTCCAGTGTATTTCCTTAAAAAAATATGTAGTTACCCATACAAAATCAATCCCTACCAAAGAATGAGTTCACACAGACTAAAATCAGCCATAAAACAGAAAAAGAAGGGAGGCAAATCCCTAGAACCGCTCTGGATGTGGCTGCTGAGTTGGTAAGAGCTTCTGAGAGCTCCAATTCTTTAGAGTTCAAGAAGATCTAACGCTATTTTTTATCTCAGCAGTTCAGGCAGAAGGAGCCTAAGACACAAAAAAAGTCTAAGGAAAGAACTGTTTTTGCAAACCAGAGCTCAACTACAGCTTTAGGGTCAGTGCCTTACAGGACCAACCTAACACTCTCTTTCATGTGATAATTAACGTGCACAATATGCATGACCCTATCATAAATTAGACATTTTTAGTAACATCTGAGATTATAAATTGTGCTGTGCTCAACTCTTCTCGACACACCCTCTGATAACACAGCTAAGATTAAAAAGGCATCGCAGCCTATTGTATCTCCAATCTTATCAGAAATCTGTACAATCAGTAAATGTGGATTTTGCGTGTGCAGGAGAATATTCTTATCTTTATTTACATAATACTTCTTTTATGAGGCCTCCAATTTTTAAGTATTATAATCAGTAAGTCCTATTAATGATTACCACAGACCAAAATTCTTCTTCTGTACTCACAGTACACACCAATACACTCATGTTGCAAACAGATGTTTCCCTCTAACTAAAGAAATCCTTACAGTAACGGCGTGGTGAGCACCAGCAGATGTCACTGCTAAACAAATTTTCACCATTAAGTGTACCAGCCTTTGTGAATGTTCTGAGGCAGCTTTTCAAGGAACTGGCACCTCAGTTAACAGAACCGGTACCTGGAAGATGTGACTGAGTGCTCCGGCAAACACCTCAGCACACAGCCAGCAGGGAAGGGGGTGGGAGTTCAATTACCTTTATAAGGGGGGGAGGATTGCTGTTTAAGATTTTGGGCAGGCACTGGTCTGTCTCCTCAGCAAATGTTGGCTGGACAGGAAAATGATGAGTCTAAATATAAATATCAGAAGCTGTGTTATACAGAGGAAAACACAAGAAAACCCTATGAAAAACCACACCTGAGCTGTTACTTGTCAGGTGAATGATGAGATACAAAAGCACATAATCCACTGCTCCAATTCACTGTAAAGTGACCTGGAATTTCTAACATTTACCAAAAAGACTTGACTCCTTATGTTTAAAATTGAAAAATCTCAGAAAAATTCAGATATTTTTATCTTAAAGTACCTTCCATGTACCCATAGAATACATAGCTAGGGGCATCATATCATTTTGAAAGAAATTCCTCTAACCACTTACCAGTGAAAAACTAGTGATAACATCTTCCAAAACAAGACTGAAACCTGAACTGCAATGTCTGTCTTGACCTGGGTAACCGCTGGTGAAGAACTAAGAATTCTTTTACCAAATAAGAAAAGATTTTAAAAATTCTTCTTTTGCACTGTTCCACTGACAAACTAAAAAAATTATTATTTTTATCATCATAATTTTCATGTCCTGTGTTTTAATAGAATTCCTGTGGCTACAACATTTAAAATGTGAATAGCAGTGCTTGAATTGTATCAGACATCACAACTTTTTAATTCTATTTAACATGGTTCAGTTTGGGCACAGATTAACTGCTAGTTTTATGTCACTGCACTCATCTTATACATCATAGCTTTATTCTCCTGTGTTTCCAACTGCAAAATTTAAATTTGAGGTAGCAATTGCTTTCAAAGTGTTAATAAATGGACTTTAAGTAGACTAAATTTCTTTCATGACTTCAATTAACACTATGCAAATACTTATAAACAGCTTTAGAAGTTTTTTAGCTCATTAAAAAACCTAAAATCATGTGAATAAACAAATGTTTTGTTCAACAGCCAAAAAGGCAAGGTCCATTTTATGCCTTCCCAGCTGGATGTTTTTGTCTTCCCCAGTTCTATAAGCAATACAGCAATTACAGACAGTGACAGTGTTCACTGGTGCTTCAGTTGTTACCCTCTGGAACACCTCAGAGCTGTTGTTATGCTTACACCTTTTTAAAGCTAACATCCCAACAGCACTGTATGCCATTTCACTCCATGAAGTGCTTTGCACATTGATCCAGGACTTAAACCTTACTTTTCCCCCCCCTTTTTATCTGCAGTCTAGTCAAGCTTTCACTAGAAAAAAAAAAACAACCAAAAAATAAGTTGGACTTTTTTCCTCTGTATTCTTACAAAGAAATATCTGTATTTGTAAACAAAGATCAGTCAATTCTCTGTTGGCAAGACTTTCTTTCCCTCCCTTCCTCTTCAGTCAAGGTCTCACATTGATTCTAATACAATTTATTATATATTTAAATGGTCTTTTTTTAGCCCTTTTAATTTGTAGGTTTATGGTTGAATGAAAAAGCACAAGTGTCTTAATTCCCACGGTTGCTGAAGTCTATTTTAATACTGCAGACCTAATTAGATTAACATGTTTCTGCTGTGGAGAACTCTGTACTTTGAGGGTTTGCTTAAATTTGAGCTTTCTAGAGCTTAGCTTGCAGGAAACAGACAGTTTATTGTTTTCTTAGCTTGTCCTGCTCTAAGGAGAAAGTCAGTTAATGCCCAGAACTGTTTTGACTGTTAGATTATCAGTTACTGTCTGCAGTGCATGCTGTGAAAATTCAAGGACTCCCAGTAAGTTATTTCCTAGTAAAACTGCTTTTGAAAGAAAGGATTATTTATCAGTGCAACCCCAATGTTTTACCTTTAGCACTGTCACAAGTACTAACCTCTGTAGCATAGATTTTGAAGAGCAACCATGCAATGTACCAGGTCATCAGAAGAAACACACCACACAACCAGGTATGGTAAAACAAGGAGACATCCAATAAGCCACTCAGAGTGTCAAGAGGATGCAATTTACTGGAGATAAAACCAAGAAGTTACAAGTACTTTAGTAGG